GTCGGAATACGGTCGAGGTATTTCCTAGTCTCTACGAGGTCTCTTTTTACATACACGTTATTTTGCATCTCTTAGTCGTATCCTTTGCCTTAAATTATGAGTGGTAGTGGTGTGGTGTTTGAGAGCATGGCATCCACTCTTCTCTTCAGCACCTTTGAGGTCTCCAGACAAGCCTTCTTTCGAACGGCGACTACTGCAGCCATTGTTAACCTAAAGCCATTGGTTCCTGGTCGTGAGTACTTCGGGATTTAACGCTTGCAATTTTGGAGAAATTTCCGGAACTCATCTATTTTTGCCGATGGATTTCGTCATCACCTCTTGGCTATATGGGCGAATGATGCCAATGTAAACCAGATGTTCTTGTTATACCGACTAGAGTAGTATCTAGGGTCAGCGATCTTACAAATGACGAGGTATCGTCGCTGTTTTCTGCGGTTCAGACGGTCGGAAAGGTAGTGCAAAAGGCATACAAGGCGGATGCCTTGACAATTGCATGTCAGGTCAGTGCAACATGTTCATAGGATCTATATATCTCTGATCAAAATCTTTATAACTACAGGATGGCCAAGCTGCAGGCCAGTCTGTCCCTCATGTCCACGTCCACATCATACCTCGCAAATTTATAGGAGACAAATTCTCTAACAATGACGACGTATACCCAGAGTTGGAGACCCATGAGCAGAGGATGCATAAAGACATGACACATTTGTCGAAGAAGGATGGGCACGAAACGGGCACTCCCAGCTCAGAATCCTCAGTGTCGTCTGATAGGAGCACTTTTCGGGTGGATAACGAGAGCAGAAAACCTCGGACTATGCAAGAGATGGAGGAAGAGGCAAATTGGTTAAAGTCACTCATGCCCACGGAAGACGCCAATTAGACGGATCCCAGAGAAAACGAGTTGTGTTTCAGTGTGGTATATCCGTGTTTATGAGAGCTATCAATGTGTTCATATTGACGTTTCTAGAAATAAAAGCGCTCTCTTGCCTTACTCTATTCGCAATACGGAAGGAAGGATCTTTATTTAATTGCGTCTGAATACTTCCTGATACCATGTCAGAGCTCACAAAGAAGAGCCTGACAACCTATGCTTTTTATAAGCATTGTGGAGTAGAAAGGTGATAACTTTAATACATCAAAGCATTCGTTCCTCCAGAAGGCCAGTAGTTCATCCAAAGTACCACTTTCAGGAGGGCACTATAACGCTTCAGGCAAGCATTTCGACTTTTATTTAAAGTTTATTCAGTATTCACTCTTCCAGGTGGAATATACGCTGCTCAAGATCCACAGATACTTGATCTCTCAGGGAACACTTGCAACAAGGCCAGCGACGAGTCCCGTACACATCCTCGATATCACGGTCAAAGTATTCACATGTCTCCTTGACGTCCTTTACTACCTGTCAGACTCTGAGCGGTACTAGAATTATTGAGATACTGACATCTCCACAGGCCTCTTGCCGCTGTCGATCCTCTGTCACTCAACACTCTCGTGACAGCCCTAGACGTAGCAAATCGATTCACAATGGAAGATGTATGCAACAGGATCATATACCAGCTCCTTTTACGTACGAGTAATGGATACTTGTCTGAAATGTTTGTCATGCTTACTTGCTGCCTTCGTCACCGGCATCGCTTTCCCCGAACCGCGGTCATAGATCTGTTTACCGATATCTGCACGAGCACTGAACGAATTGCTCCGGTCAATTT